TCCATTTACTGAGTATTGTTACTTTCACCTGACACTAACTTAATCATTTCCCATAATATTTTTGGATTCTTACTGGTTGAAATAATTTGATTTTTAAAATATTGTTGTTTGGCTTGGCGTAATTCAGCAACACATTTATTTCAGTAACTGTTTAAACGAGACCGATTTTCAGAGGTTTTTGATTTTCTATAAGTTTTCATTGAAGAAGCTTTCAACTTTAGGAGATGTATTATAGAGGCATTCAACCATGCAGTTTTATTTTTCAGGACTGGAACTTTACAAGTTGAAATATATTTTTCCTGTTTTGTCTCCAACTTATCATAAAAATTAGACAAAATGTGATTTGGATTTGACAGAGAAATCCCCTCATTCCAGTTAGTATTCTCAATCTGAGCATGAAACATGGGTAACTTTGATTTCTGAATCCTTTTAATGAAATTATGCACATGACCTGTAGGTTTCTGTAGGTTTTTTCTAATGACATGAATAAGTGAATGATCCCAGATTGAAGTATTTATAACTCCAGATATGCCATATATGGAGGATCGATTTGTGAAAATAAGATCCAAATGGGATTGCATGTCTTGTCAAAYCTTGTTGGTMCTTTAATGAACTGTTGAAGCTCTCAGTTTATAGACGTTGCTTTCAGGCCTTTGGAAGTTTTGTCACCATGAGCCTGAGCCGGTGTTTTTGTCCTCAGGTCATTTGAGCCGATCCTTCGCCTGCTGCCTCAGAGCATCTCACCTGTCAGTCAGCACTGGGCCACCTGGGCTCTCTACAACCTGGTGTCAGTTTACCGTGAGTCTGCAGGACTAGCAGGACCCGGGTCACTCCGGGTTCTTGTGGGACGGTCCTCTTCACATCGTTTTGTTTCTGACGTGTTGTTTCCTCCACAGCCGGTAAATACTGTCCTCTGCTGATCAAAGAAGGAGGAGTCTGTCTTCTGGAGAAGGTTCTGGAGCTGGACAGTTCTCACCCTGAGACCAAGGAGATGGCCCGGTAAACCAGAACCTTCATTAAACCCAGGTTCTGTTGGGTCCAAACGGTTCTGCCTGACTTTGTTTCTCTGACTCTCCTGCTGCTCCTCAGGAAGGTGATGGAGCAGTGTGACAGCTTCAAAGAAGATCCCATGGAGACGAACAACGGACCGGAGGTCAACTTTGGACCCAGAGGCTGACTCCACCAGAACCAGAACCAGAACCAAACATGAATGAAGCCAAGCCGAGGCCCCTCCTCCTCCTCCTGCCGTCATCACCACCACGGTTATTCGTGTGCATCGTTTTTCTTCTTATTGTTTCCTAGAGCAGAACCACCTGTCTGTGGACCGGACTGGACCGGACCGGACCGGACCGGACCGGACTGGACCGGACCTTAATGTGTGACACGTAGGAATTAGAAGATGCTGGGGTGTTGGCCTTCGCTGCTCATCTCTCCTGTTGTTGGTTAGGGTTTTCTCTCAGTGTGTGTGTGTGTGTGTGTGTGTGTGTGTGTGTGTGTGTGTGTGTGTGT